CAGTGATAGCTGGACATGGGCACCAGTGACCCCCGCAACCCAAAATGGAAGAAGTGGGTAATATATATATATATATATATATATATATATATATATATATATATACTTGGCTCCACTGACTTTATTGTTTCATCAGTTTTAAATGGATGATACTGGTAACAAGAACATTACATGGAGAACATCTAAAAGTGACACTGGCCATGACTTTGGAGTTTATTTAATATTTTTTTCATGCAAAGTTCAAACAACTCCAGTAACTGTTCTCTCACAGTAAAGGCTTTAAAAACATGTTCTGATATTGACAGATGATTAATGCAAAATAATTCTGCTCCTCTCAGTGGTAGCACTTGTTTAAGTGGTTCAATTTGAAAGCAAGGCAATAAAAGTGCAAACCCTGGTGGCAACCACATGGTGTGCTTTCCTTTGCGTCTCATAAATTTGAAATATTCTCAAAACTTTTCAAGAAGGCGAGATCATTTCTTGAATGTATTTGTCCAATGACCTCTTGAGGTCAGTCAGGGCCTTGTTGTAGGTTGTAGCTGCGAGCTCCACTGCACCGCTGGAGTGTGTTGCATAACCAGAGACACCTTCAGCGGCTGATTACGACAAACGTCCTGCCATGCTGCTGATACAGTAATTAGAGAGAGGATGGGTGAACAGAGATGACAGGAGGTCAGAGGTCAGCTGGGTCTGAGTCAGACGGCATCAACCTTTAACAAGCACATGCAGCATAAAAAGCGTTTTATTAAAATTCAGCAAATCCAACAGAAATGTTGTCACAGATAATAAAAAAAACATGATATTCCTGACTGACTTACGTCTGTAGCAGTTTTTAGTTTGCTCTCATTATACATAAATTACAGATGTTGCCAGGTCTTCATGTTTGTCCATAAAACAACAGTAAAAGTCTTGGCCACCGGAGCGTTTGCTCAGGCAGATTTACATCTGAACAAATTGTCCCCCTCACACAATGAGAAGCCATCAGCTGTGTTTCTGTGTCCAAATATGGACGAGTTTCTGACCTCACGTGCGCTGCTCTAAAATGGGTTCTGTAAGAGAATAAATCCTAAAACAATTTTTTTTAATGTATAACCCATTTCAAATTGAAGCTTTTCAGGAAACAGGTTTGTTCTCTTTGACTAGATTTACTGCAGACATGCAACCTTGATTAAACTTTCATTCCTGAATTAACATATTTGATTCACATTTTGGCATTTGGCTGCTGGCGTCAACTCTGTTTGTCTGTTAGCAAAATATTTCATGAACCACCCTCCGAACGTAATCTATAGATGTCCATGATAAACTGATAAACTTTCGGAGTAAGCCCATTTCAAGATGGATGCCACAACTTTAGCAAACACAAAAGTGGCTACATCTCAGTCAGTTGTATGAATATTGAGCTAATCTATAATCTGATGGTAGCTAAGAGTTAGTGTCAATGCTTACGTCAAGCTTCAACAGCTCTTACGAGATCTCGCAATAATGTGAGGTCATGCGTTACATCATTTATGAAATTTCACCAAAATGGCTGTAACTCCATCGAGAAGAACCACTTGAGGTGGGTGGGGCTTCTGGTAAGGACGTCCTATGGGTGCTTCCCTGGGGAAGTTTTCTGGGCAACTGGGACAAGACCCAGGACATGTTGGAGAGACCATGTCTCTCTGCTGACCTGGGGACACCTTGGAGTCCTCCCAGAAGAGCTGGAAAAGGTGGCTGTGTGGACCTCCCTGATCAAGATGCTGCCCCCACGACTCGACAGACAGACAAATAGAAAGATAGATAGATACATAGAAACATAGATAGAAAAATAGATAGATGCATAGATACATAGATGTACACATAGATACATAGATAGATGCATAGATACATAGATGTACACATAGATACATAGATTGATGCATAGATACATAGATACATAGATAGATAGATACATAGATAGATAGATACATAGATAGATAGATAGATAGATAGATAGATAGATAGATAGATAGATA